AAAGTCACATCTACCATTACTGTTGCCAAAAATTTTCAAAATACCCTCCATCTAACAGAATGCCACCAAATGTTAAAAGTAATCCCTTTAAAAAAATATGTAACCCATAAGCAATTAAGCCCATCATACAAAATCAAGGGACCCAGATTTCTTAGACGCCTTGACACATTTTATTTATTTAAATAGAGACCGAGAAAGATGGTCGCAGTGGGATTAGTAAGAAATCATATTTTTGGTTTTTATTAGTTGTCCATACTGGCATTAGGGTGTCATGTTATCACTTACTATTGTGTTTTTTGTTGTTGTGCAGTTACAATATGAAATCCTTTGTCGAATGTAAAGTACACTTGACAATTGGTTTGTATGTTGATAACAAGTGATTTGTACTTTAACAGCAGTATGGGGTAAAATTAATTAGTGACAGTTGGACGAATAACGCAGTGACGCATGGAATTGAAGACAGGTAGGATGTGAGCGAGCAAATAATTGGCACCGAATGCAAGTATGTGACCAGTGCTGGATGAATCCCGAAGACGGAGTAGCCGAAAATAAAGGTTCAAAAATTTGATATCGGATAATATTCGATGAGCAGTCGTTATAGAGAATATCATCATTTATAGCCAACCGTTATACAACCATCAATGATGATACTTGAATATTATTGTTGCTTTTGCTACCAGAGAGGCTAAGTTCATAGTCATGCTTGTTTTTCCTTAATTTTATTTCATATTCTTATTCCTATTATTATTCATTTCTTACTTTAGGATCAAATCGATTCACTTGTCTATAAATCATATTATAAATTTAATTGTACTATTTTACAGGTAAACAACAATGCTTGTGTTTGGTTAATATATGTAGTTAGAGTACTTATATTGTTAAGTTACTCTCCAGCTTGTTACTACTTTCTTTTATTACCGATGAATTTATTAGACTGTAGCTTGATATTAAATTAAATCTCCTCTAATTTTTTTTCTAATTTTTGTTCATTATAAGTTCAGTTATTACTAAGGGCTATGAGTAAATCTAACTTTAGTTAGACGATAATTACTCGTTGCCCAAGTGCTTAAAGCAGAATAAGAAAATCATGATGCGTGAATACTCTTCAACAACAGCTCAGTATTGGAGGAAGAAACACCTTGGTAGCTGCCTTAAGACTTCAAAGCTGTCAACCTAATAAGATAAACATTTAGGTCATATTGGAAAGAAATCACGAATGAACACTCCACACAGTTCGAAATGGTGGAAAGAAACAAAGAGAGAATCCAGAAAAAAAATGGAAAAAGGTAGAATTTAATAAACAGAACAAGGATATTAAAAGAATTGGGACTCAATATAGAAATGAATATATGGGTATTAGTGATTTTTATGTCTTTCGCTTTTAGAGTTCAATAAGTGATTACGAAAGATATGACTAATTTGTAAGGAAGAAGTGCGGTAAACAAAAGGGGTTTAATGAGTTATGCCTTTTCTTTTTAAAAAAATTAGTCATTTTTTTGATCTGGTGGCTTTCCATGATATGAAGGATATTTTTAAAAAGTTTGGTTAGCGTTAAGGGTAGATATAGCCCCATAATATAACAGACGATAGATAAGAACAATATACCAAAGTAGAATGGTAAATTTCCCTTTTCCCAAACTAAATTACGCACTTACTTTCTTACTATTTCTCACAGACTCAAACTCTAAGGGATCGTTTGGTACAATGATGGGATATCCCATGGGATTAGATATCCCATGGCAGGGGCGACCCTTCCATAAAGCAAGTAAAACAATTACTTTATGCCCCACATTTATGGGAGACCATTTTTTGTTACACCTAATAGACTATGTATAAATTTAAAAAAAGGTTCCGTGAAGTGAAAAAGTTTGATTTCTTTCTTAACTGTTATGATTTCTACTAAGAAAATTGTACTTGAAATGAATATCGAACCCGAATTTCGTAGGAAACTATGATATATAGGAAGTAACATTTTGATGAGGATGTTGATAATAAAATCTCAAAATCTTTCGAAAAGGCCTTTGGAGTTGATTACTTTATACATAATAGACAAGGCTGTTTTTTTCACTTCAAAATAGATTTGAACAATATGAAAATATTTTTGATTTTTTATTTAGTGGTAAAAATTAAAATTATTAGATGATGAAAATTTGAAAAGAAAATATTGTCTTAATCTTGAATGTTCCTTAAAGCATAATAATCAATTCGATATTGATGGTTTAGATTTATTTTCGGAATTAAAAATATTAAGAAAAATAGTATAATTAGAAATAACAATTTAATTGATATACTCAGTCAAATAAAAAAATTTGATTCTTTTTCCAATGCCTATATTCCTTATGGAATAATGTTAATAACTCTTGTTTCCGTCGTTTTAACGGAAAGCATTTTTCAAAATTAAAATTGATAAAATCTCACCTAAGATCAACAGTGATTCGATAAAGATTAAATGAATTAGTTATATTGTCAATTAAGAAAGACTTATTAGGAGTTACTATTGATTATAAGAAAATTATTAATAACTTTGTATCTAAGAAACGCTAGAAAAATAGATTTCAAATAAATAAATATTTTTTTTAAAAAAAAAAAGTTAAGGCCCCTCATAAAATTTAACTTTAGGCCATAAAACTTGTCGTGTCGGCCATGTCCCATGGAATTGATTATCTCACCTTCTATATGAGATAATTAATCCCACCGTTTTAGTGTAAAAGTTATCCGGAGATTAGTTAATACCTCAAACCAAATATGAGATAAAGTTAATCTTAAACTTTAACCGAAAATTATTATTCTTATCCCATATACCAAATGGCAGCTTAAAAAGAAAAGCTAAATTTTATCGGTGTTACAATTTTTTCCCCCAAAGCCAATAATGTTTTTCTTGTCATGACTCATAGTTTTTGTAAAGAAAAAAAAAGGAAAACAAGAGCAGTTCAAACTCTATCAAGCCACACAACCCACCATTTAACAACTCTGCATTTATTTCTTACTCGGACATTAACGCCCAAATTTCACAACTGAGAGAGTCGGGGGATTTAAATTTATAGGACTTTTGAACACTTAAAGCAATTTATAAGACAAAAGTGTTAAGATTGGTGTAAAAAGGACACTTTTATTATTAGTGTTTAATCTTTATAACTAGGTTTAAAAAAACCCTAAATTTTTACAATTATCACAACTGCCCCAAATGGGGCCCACCCTCTCTAAAAAACTGAAACCCTCCCCAGCTCCCATTCCCGCTCCCAGCCCCATTCCTCATTCCCAATTCACAAAAACCTACATTTTTTCTCTTGTTCTTCTTCTGCTTCTTCTTTCTTCTGATGTGTTCAATCTCTTCTTCTTCTTTCTTTAATCTCGACATTATTTTTCACAGGTCTTCTTCTTTGAGGTTCTTGTTCTTTGTTGAGAAAGATTAGTGAAAAAAGAACAAGAACAATTGAAGATTGACCCTTGCACCATTGATAAACACTTGATCGTGATTTGCTACATTGACTTGTGCATTATTTTAAGGGAGATATTCAGTCCATTCATCACTATTGGTAAGTAAAGATTGATGTTTAATCTTATTTTTTTCATCTACAGATATCAGGTTTTTGTGATTCTTTAAACATCCTGTGAGATGTTTCAAACATCCGGTGAGATGTTTGACGAGATATTTCAAACATCTTACAGGATGTTTCAAACATCCAGTGAGATGTTTAAAATATTTTGTGAGATGTTTAAAACATTCTGTGAGGTGTTTAAAACATCTCACAGAATGTTTCAAACATCCGGTGAGATGTTTGACGAGATATTTCAAACATCTTACAGGATGTTTCAAACATCCAGTGAGATGTTTAAAATATTTTGACGAGATGTTTCAAATATCCAGTGAGATGTTTAAAACATTCTGTGAGGTGTTTAAAACATCCTTATATAATTGTAGGTAATTGTTTCAAACATCCTGAAAGTCCATTCAGGATATTTCAAACATCCTCTCAGGATATTTCAAACATCCTAAGTATATTCTCAAGATGTTTTAAACATCTTCTTAGAAAGTTTGAAACATTATTCGGATGTTTGCAAAAAATTGATTCTTTATACCAATTCTTTATATACTTATGATATTTGCAGGTATTCCATTACAAAATGGTTGATTATATTGTATTGGGAGTTGATTGTCATGGTGAATGGGTGGAGTCTTCTACACGTTTTACTTGGCATTTGAAGAGTAAAGAGACGGTTCTAATAAAGGTGCATAGAGATGTTACGTATGATGAGTTTGTTGACAAGATTATTGCTGGTTGTGAATTAACTTGTTATCCGAGTGATATGTCCATAACTTACATGCATAGCATTGGTGAAAAGCACACTAAAGTAGCTCCCTTTAAAATAAAGAATTATGATTGTTTGAGCTATTATTTGGAAGATGAAAATAAGCCCATTCTAAGGGTATCTGTGGTTGAAAGATTGGTAGAATTTCCAAATTCACCTCTAATGGAACAACATGATAGCCATGGATTGGATGATATTGAAGAAGATCTTTTGAATAGCGATATTCCAAAAATGGATCCTTTGGATATGGATATACCATAAACCGAAGAAGAAGAATATGCAAACTTTCCTGGAGTTGAAAGAAACTCACAAGAGGTAGAACCGACAACACAAAGCAGCCACAATTATGAAGATGGCACGAAGTTTTACAAGGGTTTAAGTTTCAAAAACAAGCGCGAGCTAGTTGTGTCATTGAAGCTTGCTTCCTTAAAGGCTCCTTTCAGTTTCAAATCAGTGAATAGTACTAAATTTGTGTACTGCATCAAATATGTAGACAATAATTGCAAGTGGTGGTTGCGAGCCGTCAAATATATAAGTACTGACAGGTTTATATTACGAGGTACAAGAATGAGCACACATGCGGGTCACAACATCTTACAGAAAAGCATCCACCCGCCTCAGCGGATGTCATTGGTGAATACATCCATTCTAAGTTTGAAGAGGGCAAGGGTCCATCTAACAAAGAAATTATGGAAACAGTTCGTTTGGATTTGGGTTGTAATGTTAGTTATTGGAAGTGTATGAAGGGAGGTCATATTGTAAAGGCTATGGTAAGGGGGACTCTAGAGCACGGGTATGAAATTTTAGATGCGTACCGCTACGTGCTTAGGAAGGCAAATGAAGGAAGCAAGACAGCACTGAAGCTTGATAACAAAGGGAAGTTTCAGTATTTTTTGTAGCTTATGAAGCTTGGATTCAGGGATTTTTGTTTATGAGGAAAGTCATAGCTATTGATGGGACATTTTTGATGGGAAAGTATCGTGGAGTGTTGTTGTCTGCCGTGGCACAAGATTCAGAGAACCATATTTTTCCTGTGACATTTTGTGTAGTAGACAAGGAGTGTGATGCCGCATATGAATATTTTTTTGAACAATTGTCTAGCATACACCCCGACAGCGTTGAGTTGTGTATAATTTCTGATAGGCACATAAGCATAGCAAATGGGATCTCAAAATTTTACCCTCAGGCTCATCACGGATTTTGCATGAGGCACCTTGCTGAAAATCTTCGCAAAAAATTTCATTGCGGAGATTTGCTTCACCATTATTATTCCGCAGCTAAAGCATATAGGATTGATGAGTTCAATGATCATTTTCAACAAATCAAAGATAACGATGTAAGAGTTGCCAAATATCTTGAGGAGGATGTTGGGTTTCACAAATGGAGCAGAGCGCACTTCCCTAGTAACAGGTACGTTAATGTGAACTCCCCTGGTAAAACATCTTTGAAACATCTCTTAAGATGTTTGACACATCTCTTATGAAACAGGTTACTGGACTTTCCAGTTCAAACATCTTACGAGATGTTTTAAACATCTAAGAAGGTGTTTCACACATCTTTTAAGATGTTTCAAACATCTCTTAAGATGTTTCATACTTGACATGAAACATGTTACTGCATTCCCATTTCTGCAAGATGTTTGACCCTTATTGCTTATATTCCAAATTCTCAAAAAGTCTTATATGTCCTTATTTCAGGTATGATGTATTGACCACAAATATTGATGAGTCTGTTAACTCAATGTTTCTACTCGAAAGAGAATTCCCCATCACTGCCCTATTCGATGCTATTAATAGGAGGTTTGCTCAAAAATTCCATGAGAGGCGTATGCAGTTCCTCGACACTCCAACCATTTGTGTCCCTTCAGTTGAAAAGAAGATTAATAAAAATGCAACATTTGGCAACAAGCTATTGGTCCATCCAATAAGGCAACAAGTGTTCAGCATCACCGGTCATGGTGCGGTTGCAAAGGTTGATCTACACAACAGAACATGTTCTTCCAGAGAGTTCGACCTAGACAAAATACATTGCCCACATGCTATGGCAACCCTTAGAGTTGAGTTTGGTGATCAATACGGAACAAGCATTTATGACTATACTTCTGACTTTTATTATATAGACACATACGTGAATGCATATGTCATAGAAATTAATCCAGTGCCTTCTGAAGAATGTTGGGATGTTCCTCCGGAGCTTGTTGAGAGAAAAATACCTCCACCTTAATGTGAAATTCAACTGGGAAGAAGGAAGACAAAGCAGATTCCAGCAAGCGGGGAAGTAAAAAAGAAGCAAAATAGATGCTCCATATGCAAAAGGACTGGCCACAAAAGAACTACTTACAAGAAGAGAACTGAAGGAACAAGCAACTCCGTTGTGGCTTAATAACATTGTTGTTGTACTTGTTTTGATAATTTGATGTTGATTTTATTGGAGAACTAAATGATATCTAGATCTGTATAATTAACGTTTAATTAATCATAAGATCATTAGGTTGACGATCAACTATTTGAAGTATTAAGTAGGTTGATATTTAATGGTAGTTTGATGTTGATGTTACTACCGTCTAATTTCTTCAAACATCCTGAGAGATGTTTGATATCGATTGTCGTTAAATCTACGAGATCAATAGGTTGACGATCAATTATTTGAAGTATTCAATAGGTTGATATTTACTTTTTCGTAATGTCAATAGGTTGATTATCAATTATCAAACCTATTTACTAATCAATTTAATAGGTCGATGTATAATTATCCAAAAGATCAATAAGTGGATGATCAATTATTCGAAGTATTAAATAGGTTGATGTTCGCAAGGTCAATAGGTTCACGGTCAACTATTTGATATATTCAATTATTCTATGTTTAATTATCCACAATATCAATAAGTGGACGATCAGTTATTCGAAGTATTAAATATGTTGATGTTCGCAGGTCAATAGGTTCACGGTCAATTATTTGAAGTATTCAATTATTCTATGTTTAATTATTCATAAAGTCAATAGGTTGATGATAAATTATTTGAAGTATTCAATAGGTTGACACATAATTATCCACAAGATCAATAGACCGACGATCGATCCTTTGAGTATTTAATTATTCCATGTTTAATTAATCACAAGATCATTAGGTTGACGATTAACTATTTGAAGTAATAAGTAGGTTGATATTTAATGGTAGTTTGATGTTGATGTTATTATTTCCTTGTATTTTTTTTTCACCTTCAACTACCGTCTAATTTCTTCAAACATCCTGATAGATGTTTGAAACATCTGTGTTAGATGTTTCAAACATCCTAAGGATGTTTCAAATATCTAACGCAAATGTTTCAAACATCTATTAAGATGTTTGATATCGATTGTCATTAAATCTAAGAGATCAATAGGTTGACGATCAATCATTTGAAGTATTCAATAGGTTGATATTTACTTTTTTATAATGTCAATAGGCTGATTACCAATTATCAAACCTATTTACTAATCAATTTAATAGGTCGATGTATAATTATCCAAAATATCAATAAGTGGATGATCAATTATTCGAAGTATTCAATAGGTTGATGTTCGCAAGGTCAATAGGTTCACGGTCAACTATTTGATGTATTCAATTATTCTATGTTTAGTTATCCACAATATCAATAAGTGGATGATCAGTTATTCGAAGTATTAAATAGGTTGATGTTCGCAAGGTCAATAGGTTCACGGTCAATTATTTGAAGTATTCAATTATTCTATGTTTAATTATTCATAAAGTCAATAGGTTGATGATAAATTATTTGAAGTATTCAATAGGTTGACATATAATTATCCACAAGATCAATAGACCGACGATCGATCCTTTGAGTATTTAATTATTCCATGTTTAATTAATCACAAGATCATTAGGTTGACGATCAACTATTTGAAGTATTAAGTAGGTTGATATTTAATGGTAGTTTGATGTTGATGTTATTATGTCCTTGTATTTTTTTTCACCTTCAACCACCGTCTAATTTCTTCAAACATCCTGATAGATGTTTGAAACATCTGCGTTAGATGTGTCAAACATCCTAAGGATGTTTCAAACATCTAACACAGATGTTTCAAACATCTATTAGGATGTTTGATATTGATTGTCATTAAATCTAAGAGATGACTCGATTAAACATAACTTATTAATTTAACAGTTATCGGGAGAAAACATCGTGATAGATGTTTAAAACATCTATTGAGATATGTTCAATGTTAATGCCAAACATCCATAAAGATATGTTGCAAATATCCATTAAAACCATTCAAAAAATTAGATAATATCTGTAAATCATATCATGGTTCCATATTCTTGTGAAAGATATCCACGGCCATTTTCTCCCTGAACTCGCTAACAATGTTGTCATTCATCTTGTCCATCAGAGTGTTGGTGATGAGGTGCTCAATAAACATTAAGGACCATGCTCCACAACTACTAGATGTGTCATCTCGTGGAAGATCAAAGACCCTTTCAGGTATCCAATCATCGTTCAAGGATTCTTTAGGCAAGTGCATGAAAAGGCCACATGATCGAAGGTATCTTGGAAACATTGTGCCAATGGGATACATAAATTCACCCAACTTTTCATCAGTATACACATAGGTATTACAGTCGCAAATAAGCATCTTTGACTCTTCAACAAGAAATACAACTGTAACATAATGGTTCTTCTCAATGTTGTATACACAGAAGATCCTCTTCGCACCATTCCAAGGTCGGCCACCACAGAAAGGCAACTCTCCTAGAGCATACTTTAGATCATCCTTATGAAATTGTTACTCATTCAAGATCATGGGAAGAGATAGAGCAGCATTCACCTTGTCCACCCCATCACACAATCTACTATAGCATTCCTTTAAGATACAAAGAAAATTACAATCCAGGATGATATCTGCTTGATCATAGTGCTTGGGATACCTTCTATGCCTGATACGCATAAGGGCCAAGAAATCCTCCATGTGTTGCAGAATCAAAATAACTAAATTACTAATCCACATACTAGTATTAAACATCAAACATCCATAAATATCAGTCACAGATCCATTAGGATATTTCAAACATCTCACAGGATGTTTCAAACATCTCACAGGATGTTTCAAACTTCTCACAGAACATCTTACACTGGAGCAAGTAGAGATACAAAAAATTTTGAACATTGAACTTACAAAGACTAATCTTATTGTGGATCAAACAATTCAGCAAACTATACACAATTAATCCTAGAGGATGTTTCAAATTGGGAAGTAAAAATCAAATCAAGATGAAAGGGTTACGATTATGTACCTTATCCTCCAACCAAAATTGAGAATCTTGAATATTCTTAAAGTCTTCATAATTGAACATCCCCCACGTGAATTGTATCTGAGGCCCCCTATTTTTGATAAATGTCGTCATGGCATTTCTCCTCTCCCAGTCAATCGGTTTATAAATATCAACTTTCAGCCTCTCCTTACTGAGTGCTTTGGAGGTTTCTTCCTTTCTAGTTTTCTTTCTCTTTTTGTTCCTTTTTTTTCCTTCAGTGTAAGGAGATTGAATAGCTCGGGAAAGAACCACAGGTCTCTTTTCTAGCTTTTTAACCAAATCATCCATTGTCATCTGCAAATAGTTCAACTGACTCTGCATCGCTTCCCTCCACTTTGTTTGCTCTTCTTCCTTTTTCTTTTCCTTTTCCTGACAATCAGAGCATGTGCAAGGACAATGGATACTAGATGTACCTGTAACAATACGATCTTTTATTTTATCACCCATTTTTTCCATAGAAGCATCTCCTCTGCTATCATCATAATTAGAACCATCCCCCTGTCATTATCATCATTAAAGCGCATTCCACCATCACCACCATCGTCATCAACAGCTTCTTCTCCCATTTTACCATCTCCACCAATAGATTTTTCTGCTCTATCATCATATCCTCCAACCACATGGCTATCTCCAACTTGTGGGGTTTGCAAACTACCCTTCTCTATCTTAAGGGCACCACCCAAATGCCTTAAGACTGTCACTCCATCCAACTCTTTACTTAGGTTATCTATCATCATGTCCTCTTTGTCAGATAAGATAACAAGATTTTGGATGTAATGCTTCATCTTTTCAGCTTTTGTAGGGTAAAGAAAAGGGTGTACCACCTGGGTAGATAACAAAAAATATTAGAGGCATGCTTGATGTTCAAACATCCTATGGAGATGTTTCAAACATCATGTGGAGGATGTTTCAAACATCCCGTGGATGTTTCAAAGATGTTTCAATCATCTAAATATTTCAAACATTAAACATCTGTCAAAATGAGCCTTACCAGACGATCTTTGATTTGAAATGGGTCAGGCCTGTCTTTTTCTACTTTTTCAAATAGCCATCTCGTCATCCTCGGCAATGTCCTCTCTTTTGGATAGTCTTTTGGCCGCAATTGAGGTATAGCTTCAAATGCCCAAGCCTACATTGTGTGATAAAAAAGTAAATAGAAAATTGAATAAATAACACTAAAATAGAAGTAATGAACAAGATTTATTTAGTTACCATGAAAGCCCAAGGAAATCCGTAGAGTTTATACGAGTCACCCTTATATTGTTGACGCTCTTTCATATCTTTCATAAGATAATCAACAGTCAACCGGAAACTATTTCGGCCCCATGGATAATTGTAAAAAGCCTCTTCTGTGGAGGCCAATCTAACTGTAGTTTCATATACACCACAATTCGAATCCCTTGCCAATAAAATACAGTGGACAAACCAAATCAAGCATAATGCATACTTGTATTCTTGTATTTTTTTGGATTTAGATTTGATCAACTCAAGCACCATTTTACCAGTCACAGACCTTTTTCCGTTTGGCAATACGTTTCCACAACTCTTCACCATCAAGAAGGTACTTTTGAAGCTTCGAATTCGTGTAAGAATATCCACAGTTGAGTCTAGTCATTATGGCAAACTCACGAAGGCCGAAACAAACTGTTAATCTTTTATAATCAAACCATAACTCCTGGGTCTTCTCAGACAATACTCTATGGAGTAGAAGGCCATGCACTATAGATGCTTGAAATAGTGGCTTCTCAGGCAAATCCAAAAAAGGCCCGAAAGGACTATTCCTAAACTTGTTTCTAGGCCTTCATCCTGCAACAACTTTCGGAACTCACCCATACATGCTAATCCTAATGAGGATCTCACAGTGATCTTCTTGTTGAATGTCTCATTATCATCTAAAAATGTCTTGTACTTTAAGG